TGGAAATTTATTTTTAAATTAACTTAAAAGATATTTTCTTAAATAATTTTGCTAAAAATACTCTTTTTTTTTTGTGCAGAAAAATGAAATAAAGAAAATTTTTTAATTGTTTTTGAGGAAGAATTTTTTTTTTCCAAAATATTTTTTAATGAAAAATAAGTAAATTAATTTTTGTGTGGATAAAAATTTTTTTTTTTGAAGTTAATTTTTCCATCAGCAATTTAAATAAATAAGATAAAAATCTAGAAGTTAATGACCGACATACCGAAAAGAAGAAATAAAATGTTGGGATAAAAATATAAGACCTATAAAGTTTGAGAGAGTAAAACTTAAGTTTCCGTTATAAACTTCTGTACCACTAAGAGACAATGATGATATCTCTTGTATGTATATAATATATATGTATAAGTAAAGGGAGCATATATATTAATATATGTATATATGATGGAAGGGAAATCGGTTGATACATAAATTTGAAACTTGGATGACTTTAGAAATTTGGAGACTTGATAGCTACCGAAAGTTTTCAGACAATCGAGTACTTGACAAATGTACTGATAGTTTGATACTCTCAAATATTGTTTCTATATAATTTTCCGAGGTATTTCTGTGTACTCAAGTTAGAATGTATAAGTATCAGTAGTTAGACTTTATTGACGTGGATAATTCATAGCAAATATATATATAATGAAATTGAAGTTTCTGTTAGATCACAGATGGTAAATTATAAATATTATGTTGTTATAGATTTTGGCGAAGTATAAATTATATATAGACGTATGTTTATATATTCAATCTAGTGTTTTAATTACTCAGTTCATCCACAAGTCCAATTAACAATCGTCAACACAACGTGATCACAAGTGTGTACATGTGATTGCGCTGCACACCACTGGAATATAAAGTGGCTTGTTTTATAATATGTTTAATTTCATCTGTCGTCACTCGTTTATTAATTAACTATCAATTATTTTTAGCATTAAACGTCGTATCAGTAGATCAAATAATTTTTTTCTATTCAAAATAAATTTATTAAAAAAAAAACATTTCAATTATTTTCTTGATTGTAATTTATTTTTTTAATAAAATAGACAATTTATTAGATTTAAAAATATTTTATTACATTTAATTATTAGAAATTATTTGCAACAATTTTTTTTTATCAAAACTAAAATTTTTAGATTTCTTTAATTCATTCTAATTTATTATTAAAAGTCTAGATTTTACTAATTTGTAAAGAAAATTCTTTTAATCAATAAGAAAATTGTTTTTTTTTCTCCTAGTAACTTTTCAGCCGTACTAACTTGTATCCGGATTAAATTTTGTTTTAATAGTTTTAAAAACAAATTCATTTATTATTATAATTTTAAGAACAAATTTTTTTATATTTGTTATTAATTAATACCTAAGTTTATCAAGATCGTGTTATCAGCCCGAAAAAAAATATTTATATATAATTATATATATTTATATATAAATTGGTTATATATGATTATATATGAAAAATGGCCAAATATAATCATATCTAATTATATATAATTATGTATAACTATATATAATTATATATAACAATATTTAATTATATATTTATTGCATCTAATTAATTATTAGGTTAATTTTATGGATAGAGTATTTAATATGGTCCTACGCAATTCTGTATAACTGATCAAAATGCAAAAAAAATATCTAGAACTAATTTTATGGCTATAACACCAGTGATCACCCATCCAACTATTAACCCTGCTCAATGCTGCTTAACATTTGGTGATCTCCGTGCGTCTTGAAGTTTCTATCTGCTATGCTGCTATTTTAGACAATAATGATTCTAAGATCTACTTAATG